TCTTGCTTACAGAAGCCCAGAAGCCCAGGTGTTGCTTCAAGTTTCAAACAAATGACAGAATGTATTAGCTGAGGCTGGTGGTTGTATGGGAAGTGCAGCCCTCAGAAACGTCATTAGCTCCTTCCGCTTAATTTCATCAGCTTCATGTATCTAGAAAACACCCACGACTTACTTAGAGATGTGCCCTCTCTCTAGACAGCACTGTAGGCACTGCAAGTAATCAGGAATTTGTGGGAGAGCCACAGGCCTTTACTGTCTCTGCAGAGCTATGTCCCCCAGCTCTTTCCCCTGTTAGCAGTAGGCATCAAGACCACACCTTTTGTCAGTCTTAATTCACAGGCCTTTTAAGGCTTATCTTTTACTAGCTGGAGATGAGGATCGTTCAAGTCAGCAAGACTCAACTTTCTGGAATCTTACCTTTATCATTTCTACTTGTACACTGGCCACTTGTTTCCTGACTTTGCCTTTTTCTCAGAGTACCTTGTCGGTAGGAGACAAGCGCTGACAAAGCACTTTCTTGACTTCTGTTGCCTCATTTTGCCTGAGATCTCCAATGGACAGCCCCTCTTTGCTGGCCACCTGACCCCAAACTACACCATATTCTAGGATTTGTTACTACACCATTTAAGGAACTGATTCCCAAGATACCATGCTAGGCTAGGCCACCCTAAAGCCTCACAGTCTCATGGCAGAAAGAGTTTCTCTTTTGTCTTTTCTACAATTTAATCACTGGCTGTGGTCTCATGTGTGGTTTCCATGGTTTCTTCTAAACCACATCTTTATATATAACTACACAATCTTCAAAGATTTCCCACATTGAAAATGTTACCAAATATGTCTTATTGTCTTTCTGCTTTTTGTGTTTCAAATAATACAGCATTTAGAGGGGACAGGCATTTTAAGTATATTTGATCTGCATTTTTACCATGCACTATTCTAGTCCTCTGTTCAGAACATGAAAATCATTTCCACAGCAACCAATTATAAGTTGCAAATGCTACATGTTCTACTGTATAAAAAGGCTGAGCTACTGCTGTGGGGATCCACATCAGAATGCAAACACAAAAAGCTGCCTATTGCAAGTTCTCCCTTGAACTGTCACAAGCTAATAAAATGCAGGAATACCTGATGCAGACATGCACGGACTTTTAAAGTCAGCTTCAGGCATGATCAGCTTCACAGGACTCTGAAGAGGATGGTTTTTTTTGCCTCATACATAAAACCTTTGCTAAAATTCGGCTAAGCATATCTGGGAGGTGCTACTTCTGCACCTCTTTTCCTGGTCTGTTGAGCTACGTGTCCATCCCTCTGTAACACCACACTCTCTCGATTACTGCATATCAAATCTGTGCATCAGGTAGAGAGATGCTTGTCTTAGCTGCTCGAGGGCCTTCCCTACATGGTTTTCCATAGATTGTTTTAGCTGTTCTAGGGCCTTTCCTATGTACTTTTCCATGTACATTTTGGAATAAACTCCTCTGTGTGTAGAAATACCCTACCTGGGGCTTCATAGGAATTGCATTATAAACATATGGATCAATTTAGGGATACTGACATGTATATACTGAGCTGTCCATACCACAAACCCAGTATGTCTCCTCTCTTATTAGATCTTTGATTCTCTTCATTGGCATTTTCCAATTTTAGGCATACAGGTTTGTTAACTGAATATTTAAATACAGATACTTCTTGACTTATGAATGAGTTACATTCTGGCAAACTTATTTTAAATAGAAAACATTTTTTATTTGAAATTTAACTTAGTAGCCACATGTGGAGAGGCAGGCAGATCTCTGTGAGTTCAAGGCCAGCTTGGTCTACATAGTGAGTTTCAGGCCAGCTGGGGCTATAGAGAGACCCTGTCTCAAAAAGACCAAAAAAATTTAGTATATCTAACCTGCTCAACACCCTATCTTAGCAGCATAGCACACTGTAGAATGCCTGTTTCTCCATGTGTGAGAGCTGTGCCTCACCACCCCTGCCCAGTGTGGAAACAGACAACCATACTGTTTATCACTAGACTGGAAAATGATCAAAATTCAAAATCTGAAGTCTGATTTCAACTGTAAATATGTGATTTTCCTATCATGGTAAAGCAAAAACATTCTGAGAGTGAACTATGCTGTGGGGAGACTTGTGCACATGTCAGTGTGTTTGAAGCAGCTATAAATAATGGATTTTAAAATTTCACTTTCTACATGTTTGCTGTCAGTCTATAGGAATGTGATTTTTGTGCACTGATCTTGGGTCTTGTGACTTTGCTGAGCTCATACATTAGCTCTAGGAATACGAAGCTGTTCTGGTGTGTTCTTTGGGATTTTATATAGACAATCATGTCACCCTTTTTATCTACTTGCCGTTTCTTTTTCTCATCTTTTCTAGTGGCTTGAACTTCAGTGTTTAGTACTGCGTGTTCCTCATTCAAGGAAAAACATTCTGCCTGTTGAGACACCAGCTCATCCCTGGAGTAAATCTCACTTTCATGGCCTATAATTTTTATACATGGTTGGATTTGGTTTTCTAGTATTTTTTGAGGATTTTTTTTGTCTAAATTCATGAGTGACATTGGTCTGTACTTTGTTTTTTTATTCTCTTTGTCTGGTCTTGGCATTAGGGTTGGTACTAGCTTCACAGAAGGGATTGAGAAGGGACTCCCCCACCCACTTTTGCCCTGTATAAATTGATGCCCATTCTCCTTTGGAGGCCTGGTAAAAATTTCAGCAATGTCATCTAGGTCTGGAAATTTATTTTTCAGGAGATTTCAAGTTATGAATATTTGAAGTTGAGTTAAGTAATGTTTCAAGTTAAGAGTTAAGGAATATTCAGGAACCAAATTCATTTTTGTTAGTTTTCGCAGTTTGTAGTGGTCAAATGATTGGTTTCTTGAGAATGAAGCTGCTTCTAGCTGGGGAGGGGGGTTGGGAGAACACAGAGTAGCTTTTCAGAGGGCAGAATAGCTTTTCAGAGGCCTAGCCTCACTTAGATAAGCAGGTTCAGTTTTAAAACAGAGGCGCAGATATTCCTGGGACATAAGAAGTCTTTGGAGTGGCTCATGACCAGGTGTCATTGACCAGATGTCAAGAATATCTAGGTAAGATGACTAGGGTTTGAAATGGACTCAGTCATCACCCCTACTGTATGATTTTCTCTAGTGCCTAGGCTATGAGATGAAAAGTGGCCATGGGGTCACTTGGGGCTCAAAACCAGCAACCAGAGAGGCGAGGGCAAAGGCATCTTCAACCCAGAAAGGACAGCCACTGGTGAGCAGAGAGGTGAGAGGTCTATGTGTTCTTTCACCTATATTGCCAACCTAACTGACAGCTTAGGCCTTGAAGCTCAGTGTGATGAAGACAAGAAACAAATGACATCACCACACGAGTGACGGGCACAAAGAAGTATGGGGGGAGGGGGGACAGCTGAGCATGGGCCCAGGTCTGAGAGGACCAAGAAAGCATGCAGTAGTGCTGAAACCCAGGAAGGTAACATCTTTTTAAAAAGGCCCTGAACAGGTTAGAGGCCAGAGCATTGCAGAGGGTCAGGGCAAAGCTAAGGAGGAGTACCGAGGACGGGGACAGAAGGAGACAGTCCCTGCAGAGGGCAGGTGGTGTCTTATAAGTCAGACCCAGCTCCTGATTATGTCCTCCACAGAGTAACAACCTTCATTTCCAGCCAGGACCTCTCTTCTTGTGTTTCGTAAAGGATTCTGTTATTTCTTGTATCTGCCAGTTTCCCTGTTCTCCCAACAAACGGTTTCCACAATTACTCACTTGTAAACACAGCTTAGAGTATAGCACTAGTAACTTTCTCACCCCGTCTCCTTTACACGCTGTATTTCCTGACCATTATTACTCTGATAAGAGTCTGGGGTGCTGAAGTTTTGGTAAGTGCACAGGGATGTCTCCACTCATTTATTTGACAGGTACTCTTTGAGCCTGGGGCTTAGTGGGACACAGCAGGGAACAGAGCTAGTTCTATGGACGATGTGCACTGGATAGGGAGCAACTGAGCTGGGCAAGGTCAGGTTGGGGTATCAACAAAAGCTCTGGAGGTGCAGGGCATGCTTGGGTGGGGTTGGGGAAGGACCATCCTGAGCACAAAAGAGAGGCTTGGGTGAGGTGGACACCGGTGTGCTTGGGACTAGCCAGAGAGGACTAGGGAGTGGACCAAAGGAGTCAGCACCTGCTCGGAGCGATGCGGCTCTGCTCTTGTGATAGTCACATGCCTCATGGAAGATGAGCACTTGAGAAGTACATGAGGGCCCTGTGTGGGGGCCAGAGAAAGCTTTCCTGGAGGCTCCTAAGGGAAGCAGGTGACAGAAGGCGAGGGGAGGAGGTGGCTATGGAGAGGGGACGTGACTACAGGGATGTCCACCAGCAGCTACCCTGCTCCTCTCCCTGCAGCAGGATCAGACTGTGCTAGCAGGGACTGTATTTGTCTAGGCGAGCATCCCCATGGTCCAAGCTAGTTCCAGTCCTGAGCTCTTCCTCATCAGAGCAGAGCCAGGTAGCCTCCCTGTAGCAGGGGCAGCACAACTCAGCAGGAAAGTGGGGGTAGCAGATGACTGCAGTGGGTTCTGGGGAGCACCCTAGTCCTCCAGATCAGAGGACTGTGAGATCAGCACCCTGCACTTGCTCTTCCCACCAGCCTAGGAGACTGGTGGCCAGTTCTCCACTGGAAGAAAAGCCAGTGCCCAAGAACGACAACTCAGAAAAGAGGCCTCTGATGGCAGAGCAGCAAAACCGGAGGCCTGTGGCTGCTGGCATTCTACAGAGTGAGCCCCAGGGTTGGGGGCTGCCACCTGAGGCCCACATGTTCCTGCCCTCCAACAGTGGCAGGGGTGAGGTGGGAACCCTAACTGGTTACTTTCTTTCCCAAAACTATTAACTACTAGAGAAAGAAGCAACTTCTTTCTCATGAAAACAGCCTTGGAATAACTTCAGACTTCTAAAATCACATCAACATTCTTGCAGATCAGATAATATTATGCCTTGTTAGCTTACCACTGTGAAGTCAGGATAGAAAATACATCATCTCTCTCAGATTCCTTGAATAACTTCAAAAGCTCTGGATCTCCAGATAAATGTGCAAGAATGCGCAATTCAATCTGTGAAAAGTCTGTAGGACAGAGCTCTGGGTTAATTCCGAATTCACCACGTTGCTGGGCCTCCAGCCACCCTCAGAAGGCCTTCTTGCAGGCTCAAGGTCAATACCCCTCCTCCCATCTGCCGGACTCCTCTGGCCTGAGGACTATTGGCCTTTCTCTGTGTCAGCAATTCTGAAGACCTGTTCTGCCTCCTGTGAGGTCAGCAAAACCCCAGGATGGACAATGTTCATTCGTTCATTCATTCATTCAATTTTAGGAAGGGCCTTGTATGTGCCAGGTTCCTGTTGGGATGCGTCAGTGAACAATACAAGCAGAGCACCTTCTTCCATGGAACTTGCATCCTCAGAGACAGTCCGAGCACATCATTTGGCATGGCAGAAGGAAGAAATGAAGTGGAAATGATGGATGCAGGTAAGGTGAGGGTGTGGGGAGGGCTGTACAGGAAGCTGTCATGGTGGAGTAGTCAGTTCCCTGCATCAAGACCTCAAGAAGGTGACACTGAACAAAGACAGAGGTGGGATCCAGAATGGCATTTGGGAAGAGAAAGGGTTATGGGCTTGCCGTTCAGGGCACAGTGGCCAGCAGGGTTGCTTTGAGTCCACAAGGGGAGGGAATGGGAGGACCAAGGAGAAGGGGGAGTACTGAATGAGCTGTGCAGGGTTCTCCCAGATCAAAATACAGCTAGGAAAGGGACCCCAATATGATTTAATGTGCATCAGAAATCTTTGCTTCACAGACATATTTGCCTTAGAATTTATTTGCAAGAATGAGTTCTGTACACCTCTGGGCAGGATTCCATTGGTAAATGTCTGAATGCATGAAAAGGCATAAAGGGAGCTAGAGACCATGGCATCCCCTGATCCCGTGCATGTACCTGCTGCCAGGAAGGTGTGGCCTTTGGAGGAAACAAACAGGGCTCTTGGGGAGATCGTGACAGTCTCTTCTTCTTTACCTGGATTGTCATTTCAAGAGCATGTGGTGAGTTTGTGTCAGCTGACTTGCAGTCATTCTTCCTACAGTTACTTTAGTATCAGCTAAAAAAAGTCTAGATTTTTAATTTTTGTGACTTTCTATTAATATAATTTTAAATACCAATACTACTGTAAGCAAACAAAAATCTCTATTATCAAAAATTTCTATTCTTCTTAGAATTATCAGGAAGAAAGGAAAAAGCCAGATATTGATACCCAAACTCATTCAGAAAAAGCAGTGGAGACAGAATCTCACTGGCTGGAGATTGAAGGAGAGGCACACAGCATGGCTACCACTGCAGAGGGCAGCTAAGACACAGGTGCTGTGGCCCATGCCCACAGTGAAAGGGCAGATTCACCTGGTCACAGGCTACTGGGAGTGGGCATCCCAGCATCTTCCGCCAGGTTAAAACTTCCATTTTTAGAAATGTGACCACCAGTGTTACAGTGGAATCACTTAAAAGAAATAAGAATTTTCATATGCTTTCCAGAAGTTTTTAGACTTAATAAAAGCCAGTGCAATTGTGTGCATTTGTTTGTTCTTTATTAGGAAGTTGGTGGGGGAGGGATGGTGGGAGGGGAGATGCTTCCCTGGTATAATTACCATCTATTTTAACAGATAAACTGCTAAAGGGAGGGAACATATTGCTTCAGCTGCTTTTTAGTTTTTCAATGCATGTTTAAATCCTGGTCATGCAAATACAGAGGAAAACTTCAGGAAAGTAAACCTGTTAGTTTTATAAGAAAGTAATTATAAACATTTCTGGATTTTTAAGAAATATTCCCAAGATTTTAACAAAGAGTAAAATGTTACCTTTAAAATTCTGAGGCTTAGAAATCTGAATTGGGTGCTTGGAGATACCTTGGATATTCTGTTAATGATAAGGGAACAGCTTTAGTTTCAATGTCTACTCTTAAATTAATCTGTACTATTTAAGGGTGTTTAAAATACATAGTATTTTATTAGGCATACGAAGTCAATATATTGTGACTTAGCATATACAATATAACTGCCTAATATTGAAACAGTACTGATAGGGACACCACTAACTACAATCACTAAGCAAAGTGTAAGGACAGCCTTGACTCTGGCCTGCGTCCTCCGTGCTGTGATACACACGGTGACTCACAGCATCCCAAACCACGAACTCCCACGCAACATGCTAAAGGTAGATTTCTATGAAACATGTACCTTGTACTTTAATTTAAAAACACTCTTTAGGCTGGGGATGTAGCTCTGTGGCAGAGTAGGTGAGGATCATGTACAAGGCTTGGGGTTTGATCACCTGGCACTGCCTAAAAGCATACAATGAAAATTCTGGTCTCCGAATCTCAGCGACAGCGGCTGTATCACCCACCTACAGACCCTCGAGGGACTTTACTAAACTCCCTTTTCCACCTTTGTAACTAGGGTAATGAGGAACAGATTACAGCCATGATGCCACCGTTTCCACCGTTCAAATCAGTTAACTTTGCCACTTTGTCTGGCAATGGAATTCCTTAGGTACTAGTTGGTCTTAACCCACTGACTATGAATTCCACTATGCCAGCTGCTGCACATCGAAGTCCTGCCATTTTGCAGGTGACCCCCTTTAGGTCCTCCAGAAACCCTAGCTGTTAAGGCATGCATCTCATCCTCATTTTCCAAGGTGGGGATACTGAGGTGTGGAAGTGCTAAGTCAGCCTCTCTCAAGTGCCCTGGACATTAGAAACACACAGTACTTTAAAAAAGCAAACAAGGCAAAATGGTAATAAGATAAACTCAATACAGATGATAGGAAAAGGCAGTAAACTTGTGGCAACTCAATACGGACTGTCCACTCTAAAGGAAGGAAGAAGCCGGGCGCGATGGTGCATGCCTTTGGTCCCAGCACTCGGGAGGCACAGGCAGGTGGATCACTGAGTTCAAGGCCAGCCTGGTCTACATAGTGAGTTCCGGGCCAGCTGGGGCTACAGGGAGACCCTCTCTCAAAGTGTTGAGACCAAAAAAAAAAAAAAAAAAAAAAGGAAGAAAAACACTTAAAAATTAATAGGACCAGCTCACCTCCCTCTGCTTCCCTAGGCCTGCACCACCCTCTGCAGGCCTCTCCCCCACCCGCAGGCCTCTCTCAGGAGAAAGTCCATAGCGCCCTCCGTGCCTTGACTCCCCCAGCCTCATTCACCCTCCCATCTCCCCTGCTGTTCTCCTAGTTTGGGCCCTGCCCCATTCCTTGTCTTGGGGCCCCAGACACCTGGGGAACCAATACTGCTTCCTGATCCTTTTCATCCAGACCAACTTAGTGCCTTCTCTGGGCCCCAGGAGCACTGCTTCTGGGCCTAGCTCCGCCCTCACCTCCCTCTGCTTCCCTGGGCCTGCACCATTCACCAGCCTCTTTCTGGGACATGGGGAGGGGGCCAACCTTTCCTCTTCCTGATCCTTTGCATCCAGACCAACCGAGTTCCTTCTCTGGTCCCCAGGAGCCCTCTGGGCCTGGCCCCGCCCTCACCTCTCTGTGCTTCCCTGGGCTGCACAACCCACCAGCCTCTTTCCTGGACTCCAGGGCTGACCTTTCCTCTTCCTGATCCTTTGCATCCAGACCAACCCAGTTCCTTCTCTGGTCCCCAGGAGCCCTCTGGGCCTGGCCCTGCCCTCACCTCCCTGTGCTTCCCTGAGCTGCACAACCCACCAGCCTCTTGCCTGGACTCCAGGGCTGACCTTTCCTCTTCCTGATCCTTTGCATCCAGAACAACCCAGCTCCTCAGTGCAGTTCCCAGGAGCCCTTGGGGCCTCTTCCTGCCCCATCTGCCTTTGTATCTCTGGGTGGCACGGCCACCAGCTGCCCTAGATCAGCATGTTTTCTGGGCCAGGCTCCAAGGCCAGTCCAACCCCCAAATTCCTGAGGCCAAAATCATTCCTGGAGAAATCCAGACCTTATGAGAAAGCCTGAAATCATCTGACCCTCATCTGAATTGGGCTTCTGTGGGAACTCCTGAAGACAAAATCAATCCCACCACTCCAATATAAAATATAAAGAGAGAACTGGAAGCTTAGAGGAACCAGCTTTTCATACCCAAAAAGTAAACCACAAAGATACATAAACTTCACAAAAAGGAGCAGACCTAAATTTGAAGGCTTGAGTCTCACACAAGAATCAGAAACTACAAAAGAAATCCACATGTCAAAATCACAGAG